AAGAAATGTAAATAATTCATTAACTCTAATAAATTGGCCAACTAATGACTATATAGCACTGCAAACTCCCTACTAATGTTCCTAACATTCTCTTGACCCTTTTGAAATTGTTTGTCGTCAATACAATGGATTCTGAAAAATGGTATTTAAGATTTTTGTAATATAAGGTGAAAAATAACTAGCAAAATTTCAGGTAAACAAATGTTTGCAATAACCGTTAGCTTCTCAATCTTATGTAAAAGTTGTTTTTTTCAAAACAGAATAGTACAATACTGAGTTTCGCATTTCTTGGTAAAATATGTTAAATAAAACGCTCTGAATTCAGAAATTGGGCGATGTCCTATGTTAAATATTTAACTTAACAAGTACAGTATTTTCAATGCAAGTGCATAGAGGAGAAGTTACTTTGGTTCTTCAACTCATTATATGGATAAAACCAAATTGAAATTATTTAAAAGTATTAAACAGAAAACTAACCTGCCTCACGCTCAAAAACCTCTTGTTTTTCATGATAAACATCTGCATAATGAAAGTTTGAACAATAAGCAAAGCATAGTTGCCAACAAAACGTGATGTCCTACAAAAATCCAAAAATAGAAAAAGATAACATTTATTAAATAAAGAATTCTCAGGGCCAAAGGACCGTCACAATACCATAAAATAGCATAATCAAGGAATCTTTCAGAGTCCAAGGAATTAAACCTGACAAAGCAACATACTTAACTGTATTCACCATTATCCATAAGCCTCGAAGCATCTTCAGTTAACTTGTCAAATATATGCTTTATCTCAGCTGACATCTTTTCCTTCCGGTCATTGGAATTTCCTTTCAACCTTCTCAAAGCTTGAAGGACCTGTCACCAGCAGAAGAACTTATATATAGGTCTCAGCAAACACCCATCTCCAAAAGGTTTATCTGAAAAGCAAATAGAATATTGAAAAATGGAATATAAGGCTTGGCATAAAGTAGCATATAACATGTGTTTATTTGTGTGTTTATTATTCCTTTTAAAGAAAATGAATGTTTGTGTATTTATAAGAACCCATGGCAATAGGCAACTTAATGCTTTTTTTATAGGTAACAAAAGAATATACTGACGAAGAAAGATCATACAAAAAGGGGATACAGAGATATCCCTGCAAAGCCAAAAGGTTACAAAAAAAAGTAACTCTCTTCTCTTTGAAGACCCTCTGATATCTCTCTAACCAAATTCTCCAAAAAGGGGCCATAATAACATTGGACCAAAGAAGCTTAGCTCACTTTGAAGAGCGTACAAGAGACAAGTTGTTAGGAAGATATTTAAGATTTTTCATATATATCAAAAATAGAAACTGTGACACTGTCTGTGTCTGTCATTAATGAGTGCATAAGTATGAGTCATACTCATGGCTTACAAAGAATACATACATACAAAAGAAAAAAAAAGGAAAAAAAACGAGAATACATACATATGAATATTTTTGTTTTATATGAGAAACCAAACTTTCATTCAGAAATATGAAAGAAAATACAAAGGCATACAAAAAACCAGCCCCTAGGCCAAGCTAGCAGACAAACTTCAATCTCCACCCTTTAAAAATTCTGTCCTTCCTCACAAGCCATTAACTCCACAAAATAGAAAACAAGCCTGCCAAACACTCTATCCTTATCTCAAAATGGAGGAAAATGGAGAATCTCATTTGTCATAGAACAACAATCCATATTACAAGCCCACAAAACCCCAAAAACCAATGCAAAACAATTCTATAAGGCCTGACCGAACAAGCACTCCCACAAATATGATGAAGATCCTCCGACACAAGATTGCACCACTTTGACCCCAACACAAAAGGAAAACGCCTTTGAATACTAAGGTGTTCATCCTTTCATGCAAGACCTACCTGAAAAGAATTTGACCGTCTTTGAAATTTTAACCTTCTAAAGAGAGAAGAAAGAAAGTGTAACAAGAGGGGACAGAGGGAAAAATAAAATTTGGAACAAAGAACTACAAAAAAAGCCCCCACCCAGAACTAGACATCCCTTCCACTTGACTTGAACACTTTCACCGTCACCCTACTATCAAATAAGGGACAATGGAAGCCTAATGAAGAGTAGAATTAGGACCCAAGGAAGGCATAGCAAAGGCTACCGAATGTAACTTCTTATCAAACTGATGGTACAATGAGGGAATAAAGCACAAAGAGGGTGACAACCTGACTTTTTGGTAACTTATACTGCCTAGGGACGTTACTACATGCATGCAAATTACATTTAAAACCGTTTAAAAAATGCTAAATAATGCATTGCACTTGCATAAAATAAATTTTACAAAAATAATTAAAGAAACTTCATCTGGAATCCCACAAAAAATCTACATAAAACATAATAGTAAAATAAATAACTTTTAATACAATAAAAAGAAACCATAAAACTAATGCTGAAGTGAAAACCTATATCATAACCAGCAAACATCCTCATCACAACCAGCAAACATCATCGTCACTCACCTTGTACGTCATTAAAAAATACTCAGTAAGTAACCCACCTAACGGGATCAAGCAAACACATACATAACATGTATCATGTGGGACCTAAATCTTTTTACCAGTCAAAATCCTTTTTCTTTTTCCTTTTTGGCCAAAGTGAACAATTAACTCATTCTTGCATAAATAATATCAACTCCAGTTTGATGCATAAGCAGGTTTCTTGAGAGACTCTAGCCTAGCTGATAGTAGTTGGCACCTAGTCAATGGAGCCAAGTCTCACCCACCTAGCTCCTCAGTCTTAATCTCATTCTGTGTACATCTACTTTAAAATGAGAATAATTGCCACAAAGTTTTCAAAAATATCATGCATATGAGGTCCCATCATTAAACATTCTTTATTGCAGCATGACAATCATACGCAACAATCACATCCATAAATAACATTCAATCACAAATTCATTCAAAACATCATACAAAGATCCTACATATTTTTTAACCTAGCCCTAAGGCATTCCAGATGTAGAGTCACTTACCTCAATAGTGATCAGAAATTGATTAGGAGTTGATACTACTGTCTTAAGAATTTTAAATAAGAAGTAAGATGGTGGCGGTCAAAAAGAGAGAGAGGTTTGGAGAGAATGATAGAATATGGTTTAGGCTTGACTTAAAAGGGCCTTATTTAACTGTGAATATCTAATTTGAATAGGATCCAAATTCAAATTCAAATTCTAACTCTAAAAAAGTTTTTATTTATCACCTTTTTTTCCTTTTTGATTTAGGAAATATATTATTAGATATTGTAATTATCTTTTAAACTAAATCGTAAAATAATTATTTAATTTTAGAAACTATTAACTTAATTAATAAAAGATTTTACGGCTAATTCAAAAAAAATATATTCAAATTACCAACTAATCCTACATATACAAATTTACCAAAAATATGGGGCATTACAAAGAGGCATGTCTCCCACCTAACCACCCTCCCAAAAATAAATATATGTATGTTCCCCGAGAGAGCAATTCACATGTGAAGACAAAGGGGAATCTTGAAGATATAGCATTCCAAGGGTTTTTAAAATAGCCTATAGACCTACAAACCGAGATCCATTCAAAAGGGTGTGGACCGTATTTACTCACTGTGATCCTATGCCATAAAGCATCTGATTCCTCAAAGGAACGCTACAACCATTTAGGCAACAAGGCCACATTATGCATTCTTAGGTTACCAATTCCCAAACACCCCAAAGCAAGAGGGCGTGAAACAGTCTCCCACCTTTTTCGATGCCTTGTACCGTAGTGAAGAAATTTCATGTTTTACTCCAAGAGACATCTCTTGGAGGCCTATCTCTTGTCAAGACAGTAGCTGGTTACAAAGGAATTTTGAGGAAGCTGAGGTTTGGTTTGCTCTAAAAAATTTGGGAAGAAATAAGGCGCCAGGGCCAGACGGATTTACCATTGAATTCTTCATCAAATTTTGGCAGCATTGGAAAGGGGATTTTATGCGACTTTTTGCTGAGTTCTTTCGAAATGGCCAATTGAATGCTTGTGTTAAAGATAATTTCATTTGCCTTATTCCTAAGAAAGATTCAGTGGAAAAGGTAAAGGACTTTAGACCAATAAGTCTTTCAACCTCCACTTATAAAATTATAGCCAAAGTCCTCACCGAGCGCCTCAAGAAGGTGATTCCTAGCACAATTTCCATGAATCAGAGTGCTTTTATTGAAGGAAGACAGATCCTTGATCCGGTGTTAATTGCAAATGAACTTGTAAATTTCTATAAAGTCAAGAAGAAGGGTGGTTGGATGTTAAAACTTGACTTAGAAAAAGCCTTTGATAGAGTGGATTGGGATTTTCTTGATGCTTCCCTTCGAAAGAAAGGGTTTGGAGAGAGATGGATTAGCTAGATTAATGGTTGCATCAGAGGGACAAATTTTTCAGTATGCATCAATGGTAGACCGAGAGGAAGAATCTCAGCTTCTAGAGGTTTAAGGCCCTCTTTCTCCTTTCCTTTTTCTCTTAAACAGTGATGTGCTTAGTAGTTTGTTGAATCGCCTACATGGAAAGGGTATTTTTGAAGGTTTTATTGTCGGCAAAAATCATGTTCATGTTTCTCATCTACACTTTGCAGATGATACTTTGTTGTTTTGCAAGGATGATGATGATATGTTGGAGATTATTTTCGATACTATTACGGCATTTGAATGGTTGTCTGGCCTTTAAGTAAATTGGGATAAATCATCATTATGTGGAATTAATATTGATACCCAAAAAGTAGCGTTGTTTGCTGCAAAGTGAAATTGTAAAATTGAACATCTGCTCATCATTATGTACCTGGGCCTTCCTTTAGGTGGAAATCCAAAGCTTGAAGCCTTTTGGTTCCCTATTAAGGACAAGATCCTAAAGAAGCTCGATAGATGGAAGCGGTATCAATTATCTAGAGGAGGTAGACTGACTTTGTGCCAAGCGGTGTTGGGTTGCATCCCTTTGTATTACTTATCGCTTTTTCAAATGACTGGACATATCAGCAAGCAATTTGAAAAGTATATCAGAAAATTTTTTTGGGGAGATGGTTCAAATGGGTCTTTAAAGCATTTGGCTCGATGGGAATTAGCTTCTCGCCCTTGTGCAAATGGTGGCTTGGGCATTGGTATGTTATTGAATAAGAACCACGCTCTTCTTGCGAAATGGGGTTGGAGGTTTAGTGTGGAAACTTCTGCGTTATGGCGCCGGGTTGTGGCCAGCATTTATGAAACAGATTGTTTTGATTGGAACACTCTGGAAAAGAAGAATTTGGGGTGTCGTAGCCCTTGGAACAACATTCAAAAACAGTGGAAAAAGGTACAGAAATTCTCTTCGTTATCAGTAAAAAATGGCAAACGTACTTTGTTTTGGCATCACATGTGGTTGGGCGAGTCTTGTTTAAAGGACAAGTTTCCACTTATGTTTCAGGTTTCCTCGAACCCCTACCTTTCGGTTCATGAAGCTTGGGATTCAACCACCTCCTCTTGGAGGATTGAAGTTAGAAGGTCGCTAAAAGATGGAGAAATTGCTGAATATATTGAATTATTGGACAATCTGAATTTGGTTTTGTTAAATGATGATGAAGTCAATGAATAAAAATGGGACTTTTTCTGTCAGCTCCTTATGTAACTCTAAGGCTCCCTCTGCTGCATTACCTCAAGATTTTTGCTCAAAGCTCTGGAATTCTGGTAGCCCCAAGAAGGTTAATGTCCTTACATGGATTCTTATGTTTGGCAAGGTCAATACAGCTGAAATTATGCTGAAATTATGCAGAAAAAGATACCATACATGTTTCTCCAGCCATCTCCAGCCATACTCAAGCGAAAATCAGCGGCACACTTTCTTTTTCTGCCCATTTGCAGCAACCTGTTGGTCTGCCTTTTTTGGTATCTTCAACCTACCTTGGGTTATGGACAAGTCAGTCTCGAACTTGGTTTTTCAATTGCTGTTTGGTCTACACATGAATCCTAGAGCTACATTACTTTGGGTCAACGGTCTTAAAGCCCTTATTTATGAATTATGGTTCGAGCGCAGTCAAAGGACCTTCGAAGGGCTAAAAAGGCATCCGTTGGAATGTTTTCACATTGCCAAATTCAAAGCTTCTCAATGGTGTGCTCTTTTCAATCTTTTTGTCAATTACTCACCTAGCATGATTGATTCTAATTGGGATGTTTTTAGCTCTCCTTTGTAATTTTATTTATTTTGTTTCAACTTTATGTGCTTTGTATTCATTTTTTTTGTTTTTTTTTTATTTTCATTTTTTTATTTTTTATCTTTCTCACTCCTTTGGAGTTTGTATCCTTGAGCATTTTATGTTCTTTTTCATTTATCAATGAAAAGTTCGTTTCCTATTCAAAAAAATGGGAACCCCTCTTCATCAACTCCTTCCAATAAGAAATCCCTATAATTTTCTCGAGAATTTAGCACACCGAAATAGGAACTTGAAATGAGGAAAGGAAGCAAGGTTGAAATCCCACTAGGACTGTCTGGATGAGAGTTAGTCTTCCCCCTCTAGAAAAGAAAGCCTTTTTCCAAGAAGAAAGCTGCTTAACTTTTTCCATGGCTGAGTTCCAAAACAACACTCTCCAAGGATTGCTCCCCAAGGGGAGACCGCAGTAGGAGGAAGAAAAACTATTCACCCCACATCCCATTCCCACCAAAGAAGCCAAATAGTCCAGCTTCAAAGAATCGCAATTAACCCTCAAGACCGAATATTTTCCCCAATTAATCTTAAGACCAAAAATAGCCTCAAAGAAGGACCAAAGTCCATTAAGATTAACAAAGGACCTTTCCTAGCTAGAACAAAAGAAAAGTGTGTCATCTACAAACTAGACGTGCAAAAGATGGATGCTATTCTTACCCATCTTAAACCCCTCAATAGCACCCTTCTCCATTTTAGTTGAGACTAATCTGCTAAAGATATCCACCGCCAATTGAAGAGAGGGGGAGAGGGGCCACCTTGTATGGGACCTATAGAAGTATAGATGTTACCCCTAGGAGTGTGAGAAAGATGGGTGTGAAGTTGGTTCTTTTTCCTCTTTCTATTTGGGTCTTTCTCTCAAAAATAATCCTAGGAGTCTTTCTTTTTGGGATCCAATGGTATAAAAAGTTCAAAGAAGTTGTTTTTAAAAGGGGTAGACAAACTCTTATCAAGTCTATCTTCAGTGGGATTCCAACTTACTTTCTCTCCTTGTTTAGGGTGTTTGTTTAGGGTGTCTGTTTGAATTAGTAAGACCTTAGAAAAGTTTATGAGGGATTTCTAGTGGGAGGAGACAGAGGACTTATTTAGTTAAGTGGAAGTTGGTGGCGTAGTTGATCGCTCTTGGGGGTTTAGGCATTGCCAATTTGAAGGTGCAAAACAAGGTCTTGCTAGCTAAGTGGTTAAAACGCTTTCCAAGGGAGTCTAACCCTTTATGGCATAACGTGATTATGAGCAAGTACGGTCTCTATCCCTTTGAGTAGATCTCGAGGGGGGGTGTTTGAATAACACTTCTAAAAATCCACAAAAAGCTATCTTTTATGGACTTCCTTTGTTCTCCCAGTTTGTTCAATGTTCGTTTGTATACGTATTTTTTGGAGGATAGATGGTTGAGGTCCAACTCCTTGTTTTCACATTGAAATCACTTGTCCATGATGAGGAATCAATTAGTGGCTTTTGTCCTACTTTTTTACGATTTTTTTCCTCCCTTGCTTTTGGCTTCCATCGTCCTTTATCCAACAAGGAAACAACAATATTTTTTATCGTCTCTTGGCTTCCATCGTCCTTTATCCAACAAGGAAACAACAAATATTTTTTATCGTCTCTGCTTGGTGATTTTTCTATTTCCCCAAGAAGAAGATATAGTCGTTTGTGGGGTCCTAGCGCTTCTAAAGGGTTTTCTTGTCGTTTTTCCATTGCCTGGTGAATCCTTCTCCCCCAGCTCCCCTCTGTCTTCTCCTCACTATTGATGGTTAAAATTACAAATAAGGTTAAATTTTTTTTGTATGGTAGGTCCTTCACAGTAGAGTTAATACTTTGAATCGGGTTTTGAGGGAGTCGTCCCTTTTCTTTTGGAACAAGAAACAAACTTCTCGTAGATAAAAAAAAGATACAAATGTTCAATAAAGGAAATAAAGGAAAAACAGTAAACCAATGATGGTGAATAAATGCTTCCCAGTCCAAACAAATATGACTAGGTGAGTAAAGAGAGAACAAATTGGTGGGAGAAGACCATTGTGAAGCTTTAAAGATTGCTAAGTCATAACGTTTCACCCAAAATCTTCTATTGTCTTAAAAAATTCTCTTGTTCATTTCAGCCCAAACTTCTACTATCATAGATTTAATGCCATTAATCCAAAGAAGGTTGATACGAGGAGAAAAGAGCAGCCTTGCTAGAAACTGAGTGATGTTCTTGCTTGATTCTTTGTCATACTGAAAATCTTAAATAGGGATACCAAACAATTAAGTGAATATTGGCACGAGAAAAAAGATGATAAGTTTGAGGGAGTCATCCCTATTGGTAAGGATGCAATGTTGTATTCTTTGTAGAGGGCGATGAAGGATCTTGATCATCTCCTTTGGAGTTGTCATTTTGCTTACTAGATTTGGAACTTTTTTTGAAGGAGTTTAGTTTGTTTGGCTCAGCCTAGTGGAGGAGTTGCTCTTGCTATTAACCTTTTGTGATAAGGGGCGTTTTCTATGGGTCGTTGGTATTTATAATATTTTCACGGGATCTGTGGATGGAGAGAAAAATTTTTAAACGGGTGGTCCCTTGTTAGGTTTCATGATTCTCCCAGACCTGGGTGGCTAAGGGTTTTTACAATTATTCGTTAGATCTTATATTGTTTAACCCTTTTTTGTTTTAGTTTGGATCCCTTTGCTAAGACTGTCTTTTTTGTATGTCCCTTGAATTATTTCATTTTTCCTCAATCATACCTTTTCAAAAAAAATAATAAAATAAATAATAATAATAATAAATAATCAAGAAAAATTACAAATCTATGCCAACTATCACTTATAAGTTATAAGCAAGAGAGTCAAATAGTAAATGTCAAGGAAAATGTAAGTGACTTCAACTTTTAAACATACAGAAATGCCTATGTTGACGACTATTCAAGAAAAGATCATGGATACCATGTAAATGCCTGCTACTTAAATAAGCTATAAATCAACTCTCTGCTTTTCAATAATACTACTCTCCTCTAAAAGAATGAAACTACAGCCCTAAGGTGGTCGTACAAAAGCATAGACAAAACCGAAACAAAGGAGCCACCAACAAGAATTTAAGAAAAGGGTTCCACTCCAACCACTAGCAACCAGAAAAAAAATATAAAAAATATATATATATCTCAAAAAAAAAATCACAAGACTACTCGGGAACACAAACCTTCAGAGAAGCATTAAAGTAAACCAGTAAACCACATTTCAAACTTGCTCTAATGAACCTAATTTTTTCTCTCTATCCAAATATCTTTCCAAATATTCTAAAGAATAACAAAAACCCAGCCTGCTCAAAAGCCTTCTGTTAACAATAAGTTTGGTGAAGGACTACATACTCCTCTTAACCCTCTGATTTCCCTTAATACCATCTTGAAACTACATATAAATAAAGCCCTCAGTTCTTTAATTTTTCATCATATCGTGCTTCATAATGCAATTAATTTTTTTTTTTCATGCAACTCACACAAAAAGCATGCACTTTTCTTTTTCACCCCGTACTTTTTTTTTTTAAATCTATGTGTCCGGACCAGCTTGCGTGCACCTTGACTAATCACGGGCCAACCGTCTGACCCTACTCCATTTGGTTGACAAGGTAACTCGTGGGATATTAAATCCTAAGTAGGTGGTCATCATGGTTTGAACTCATTCCCTCTAACCCCTTTGCTATTTACATTGGCCCTTATTGATCACTAGGCCATCCCAAGAAGGTTCTTTTGCACCCGGGACTTAAACTAGAGAGAGTAGGCTATTGCATCCCAATGTGCTTCATACTTGGAAAAACAATGAAATAACCTTTAATTGAATACCAAAAATTTTTTACAAAGTAAATTCGAAAGAAACGCAATCAAGATTTTGAGCTCACCGTTTCACCTGGCTCAAGTAGGCCAGCGATACGTCTCTTTATCTTTCCAACTTCTTCAGAAGATAGCTCTTGGACATCATCTTCATTATTTATTACTGTAGAGGTTTTCCCAGTATACTTTGGATCAACATCGACATTATCAAGCCATGCATCCTGAAGGTACACACACAACCTTAACAATCCAGTAAGACATTGTTTCCAAGAAGGGCATGGAACACCATACAGCAGTACTTACCTTGATTTCATTGTCATTTACATATTCAACAAAATTACCATCTGCATCAAAATAACCTTCTTCCCTCTCTTTGTCTAAATTGAAAGGTTCTATTTGAATTCCATCAGCTTCAAAGTTCTCACTATCCTGTCAATGGGGAAAAATGTTCAAGGGGAAGAGGGAGACAGCGAGAGAGAGAGAGATTAGTAGCCGTCCTTGCATTTAACCTCTTTAAAATAAAAATTGAAAACCTTCACTTCGAAGGCCAAATTGCTCTCGTTTTTGTCTCTGTCTCTCTAATATATAAGCTGAGGAGAAAGAAAGATAAGACAGGCTTTTAAGTTGTAACGATCCACAAAAAACGAACAAGCTTTACCAGATGATGAAGGAACCAACTAGTGATGGCAATGAACAGGGTACCAAAGAATGTTATCATTATTGATATTAACAAAATTTAATCACAATTCTAACATAAAAGCACTAATATAAAAATATAGGAAAAGGACACGCCAGCCATAAAGAAGACTCTCTGTCCTTCAATTGAAACATTTCCCCTCAATGAAAGGGGGAAGATGACAGGAAGAGAAGGGAGAGATACACACTCGATCAATAAAAACTTTAAAAACAATATTACCCGGTGAACAATGACGCAGTGATTCAATGTAAGAAACAAAATAATGCAATTATGAGAACCTACAACTAAAGCAAAGCTCAATTTCCAACTAGTTCTCTGGGAACAAAAGGAAAAAATCAACTCACTGGTTGGTATAAGCATGGTCAAATCTCCAGGAAAGGAACATATGTGTAAAACTAAATCTTACCTCATAAGTCACTTCAGCCGCTGATATATTATTGACGAGGCCTCTATTCTCTTCACTGAAGAGGTCAGCAGTCATTTGATTCCGCCGCTTGGCACGCTCTTTGGCAGCAAATCGTGGGTCTGTTAAATCCTTTGGGCTCTCTTCAGCTTTCCCTTTATCCACAAATGCATCTCCAGGCTTCACCTTCTTACCCTTTGGAAACCTGACTCGCTTTTGGCTGAGAAAACAAAATTCCAAGACTGAGAAGGGAGAACCCCATTTGCAGGGATGCAGTGCAGAAAACGAATTAGCTGAATAATCATGAAACTGAAGAGGGTTTGCCCAGAAGCACCCAAGAAAAAGACGCGCGATGAAGCCAAATAAATTCGAAAAGAAAAACAGAATGAAAGTGCGATTAGGAGTTCAAATAGAGCAGAAAGTAGAAAATTACGCAGTGGGTTTGACAGAATCGTCGTCTTCTTCTTCTAAGAAGCGGCGCTTGAGACTAGGGCGAGATGAATTTCCCTCCATTGATACACCAAACTGGGAAATTCTTGCAGAATTATTTCAGGCGATACAGAAGAAGAGAGAATGAAAGATTCGAATATATTATTAAACACCTCTGTAACGAGTTTCACAAATTTATACGAAAATTTGAACTCAAAATCTTTATATCTTTTCTTGCATTCTCTTCCTTTTGTTTTTCAATTATACGTAATTAGATTTTGGACATTGAGATTGATTTGAGACCAGTGTTAAAAATAAATAAATAAATAAAAAAGATAAGATAATTAAATTTAGATTAAAATACTATTTTGGTTCTTATTAATTATTAATTTAGTTTTTGTTTATTTTGAATTTGATTATTTCTGTAGCTTTAAAATATCTTCTGCATTTTTTACTTTTGTCTATTTGTTTACATATTTTCGTGGTTGATTTTAATTTCTATATTTTTAAAAAATTATCATTTGAGTCCTTTTTTCGTGGTGTATAGAATTCGTATTAAAATTTTACAACTAAAAATTAAGAGGGTTAAAACAAACATTTTGAAAGTAAATGAATTAAAACAAACCAAAGTTGAAAATACAACGATTAAAATAAATATTTTAAAAATAAGAGAACCAAAATGAATAAAAGCTAAAAATACGAATATGAAAATAGCATTTTAATCTTAAATTTATTTATTTAAATAGATATAGATATAGGTAGCTATAATTTGTCAGTTGAATTGAATATTTATCAAATTTAGATACTTAAATAGATATGAAATAGGTTTGGATTATTTTGGATTTATTTAAATTAATTAAATGACTCAAACAAAGTTATAACTTTTTAATTGTACTTATAGTATTAAGTATCGTTTACACGTCGACATTTCGACCAATATTTCTATGTATCTATGAGTTTGACATCAAGATTTCTATAATATAACCAAAAAAAATCGACAAAATATGAAAAATATCAACAAAATCTCACTAATATAGGCATAATACTAATATCAATTATTTTTAACTTATTTAGAAACGATGAAATTTTTAATTAGTAAATTTAAATAGGACATCAACATTTTATCGATATTTCCAACGACATCTCCATGAAATTGAGGCATGTACATCAATATTTAAAATCTTGACTCTACTACAATCTACTCTTGGTTAAATTGGAATTTCAAATATCCAACCCACGTTTAAAAAATAAATAAACAAAACCTATTTATCCTAGATTTGAATTCGCACTCTCATACCTAAGTTATAATGCTTTAAAAACACTGAATTAATCAATCATCACGTTTAAGTATTTACTTAGATCAAATTAAAACATTTATTTATATAAAAATTGCATAAACCATCTCAAACTATAGGATTGTTACGATAACATCAATATATTTTGTTTTTATCTTAATCATGTTGTTAGGCTCAAGGTCGATTTGAAAATAAAATTTCTAATGGTTAATATTACACTTTTCAAATTTAATATATTTTAAAAACTTTGGTTAAATGGTAACAATTCAATAGTTTATAGGTTTGATTTTGATAAATTTTTTAGTTCAAAAGTAATACCATACTTAAAAGATTTAAAGGTTGATATCTCAGCAATAAAACATTTTATTCTTTTCCTTGAAGTATGAAGTTCACTCCTCCGTCACCCCATTTGCTGCACTAGAAAAAAATGTTTAATTGTAATAATGTCATAAAAAGGTTTGTACTAAGTTGAAGGAGCAAACATTAATTAAATGTATTGTACTAGAAAGTAATAAACATAATTAAGACTCAATTATAAGTTTGAGATCTTGGATAGGGCGGTGTTTGATAGGTCTCACTACTTTTGTTTTGTAGTGCTCAATATATCCTAAACTTTCGACATTAAACTTTAAAATTTCATCTAAATAAATATTGAACATTCAACTTGACCTATTAGAAATCTTTAAAGTTTGGAATTTATTGAACATAACAGAATAAACACAACTATTAAAAACTTAGAGGCCTATTAGACCTAAATTCAAGAACTAAACTTGTAACTAGATATACACTATTTATAAGTAACAAACTTATCTAAACTATGTACTATGTAATTTATTTATTTTTTTAGTTGAACAATATGGGAAGGTATAGAGAACATCTAACATTTTGATTGATGATACACATACCTAAATTAATTGAGCTTTGTCCATATTGGCTGTGTTCAATAAAACTTAAGTTATATATATATATATATGTATATTGTCTTGAGCTTTTTACGTTTTTAAGTCTTGTCACTCCACTTATGTCGTGTTCCTTTATTTGGTTGTTTCAGTATTCTGGTAGTCTTTAGTCTGTGCTGGGATCTTCAGGCTACGAGATCCTCCTTCTTATACATTTATTTTTGCAAGAAAGAAAATGAGAAAAGAAATTAAAATTCAGTAAACAAACCAAACAAAGAATATTGGCAAGTGGATTTTTTTTTTTTTTTTTGGTTGAAAGTGGGTGGAACATATGCTTAACCAATTTATCCTCTTTTTTCTGGTGGAGTGATATTCTTACCACATAGCATATCACCTTTTTATCTTTGATAATGACAAAATATGTGATACCCAATTCTCTTTATATGATTTTGTTTTCAAATTTATTATATTTTTAAGTTTGAAACATTGTAGAATTCTAACCATCTTCAACTTACCTTAAGAACTAAGATTTGAAATTTAGATTCAACATCTAACAAATTACCTTACTTTTGAAGTTGAAGACGATCTCATAAATCAATACAAATTAAATCCTTTTTACATGCACCGTAAATTTGTTAAAAAAAATAAATAAAAACTTCCATGAGGTCATCAAACTTAGAATCAAAGCTACATGCATGCTTTCATCTCTTTAGTCGAAAGTTCTGTAAATTCACAATATATACTATACTAGTGTTGAATTATTTATTTTATTTCTTCTAGAATACAACATGTGGAAGTGGAGGATCGAACTCACAACCTCTTAATTAGAGATATATGCTGCCAATTACCGCTGAGCTTGCTTATGCTACTAGTGTATAAATTAAATATAATGATTTAATAATATTTCTTTTTGTAATCTTTAACTTTATTATTATAATGTGTCACCTTTCTAAAATATTCTTGCTCAAAACTAGAATCTCAATACTATTTATATACCACAATTGAGTATGCCAAAAAATTTAAACAATATAACATATAATTAATGGTAGATGCTTTATTAAAAAGATAGCTTGACACTGAATTCTTTCTTAATGTCTATTAATATTTTCTGCAAAGCAAACCCAACAAAGGTAACCTTTCAAAACCAATTGAGGAATATTGGAATGTTGCTTGGTCCTTGGATCCTGGGAGATCTTAAAAGAAAGTTAGCTCAACTAATAGAAAATCTAAGTAAAAAAGAAAAGAAAAAAAAAATGAAAATACTTCGAAAAAGGTGTAGGCAAGTAAATTCGACATAATCTTCTTTTTCTTAACCAAAATTGAAAAATAAATCTTGGAAACAATCGATTAAATGAAAAATTCGGATATGTATTTGGTAGTAGATTTTAAAATTGAATCTCAATTAAAAAATTCAACGTATATTTAGTAATATATCTTATCAGCTAAATATTTAGTACAGTCTAAAATAATATTAATTAATTAATTAATTAATTAATATTTTTATTATAAATTTGGTAGAAGACTATTATATAATTTACCACACAAAAATAAAATAATTTAAATATGAAATAATATATTTATTAAAATACTTATATAAATTTAGAACCCACCAAAACCGAAGAAGCCAATATTGTCTTTATTTTAATTTCTTTTTAAAATGAATTAATTGATACTTATTGGACACCACTCACCTAATCAACCCAATTGCTGACGTTATCAATTCCGCTTTTTCCTCTCATTATTTCGCTCGAAGTTCTCAACTTATTTTATCTTGCCGAAATCCATCTATCATTTTATCTAAAGTTTCTCTATAATAGGACAAACCTAATAGCCATAAATTTAGACCATTAACCTCAATTAGATTTTGTAAAATGCAATACTACCTTAGTTGGAGTGATAATGTCATCAATATAGTTTAGCCCTTTCTTTTTTTTTTTTTTGTCAAACTTTACTTTTACACCCACTCATTTATGGATTAGAAAAAAAGAAAGTACCCACTCATCAACTTTGATTGTGAGATGGTTTAATAGCTTCTAAGAATTTGTTTGGATTACGGAGCCAAAACAGGAAACACATGTCCTATGAAGAAAAAGATTTTTCAACACTATTACCCATTCCTACCAATGGTAAGATATTGTTGTCTTATAAGGATTACAATATTGTTTTTCTATAACAATTAGATATTTGGCCTCTTATAAATAGAGCTCTTATGTTAAGGTTTCATTTGTACATAACCCAAATAAAAGAGACTTGAGTGGTTGTGGGCAGTATTGAAAATGATTTTGTATCCAATGGGTTTAGTGAGTGTTTTTCATTCTTGTACCTAAGTATAGCGTGTTGAAGCTAGAGGGCTTTTGTTGGAACCTCTAGGAGATATTTTTTGGGAGAGTTTTGTATTTTAATCCTTAAACAATTATTAGTGAATTACTCACATATGAGTGGAAGACTGGACGTAGCCCTTAGTGGTGAACCAGTATAATTTGCTGTGTCGTTATTCTTGCGCTTTTACAGTTTTCTTCCTATTTTCATATATTTTGGTTGTGTTTGGATATTTATGTGGAATGAGAAATTATTTAGGGTCTTCAATTTCCCAACAAGTGGTATCAAAGCTGTAAGGTTGCAGCATCATGGGAGACAAATATCACGCACACCATTACTATAAAGAGGTTCTGAAGTTCACCGGGGAGAATTTCAGTTTTTGGAAGATGCAGGTAAATGATCTTCTTACATGCAAGAAGATACACAAGACTTTAAGGGAGAGACCAGCAGAAATGGTAGACAAGGATTGGAATGAGATGGATGAGCAGGTCGTTGCGAATATCAGAATGTCGTTGTCAATGAATGTTTGTAGTTTGGTGGCGAAAGAGACTATAGTGAAGGAGTTGTTGAAGGCCTTGCAAGACAGGTATGAAAAACCTTCTGCCAATACAAAAATACTTCTATGGACGAAGTATTTTAATATCCACATGGAGGAGGGAACCTTGGTGAATTCACACATTAATGAACTCACCGATATCTTGAACAAGTTAAAAGGGATGGGTGTCAAG